TGTCGAATGAGTTTTTCGGGTGTCAGTAAAACCGCGATTGGAATTATGATCAACGGAGAAGGGATTGACAATAAATAAAGTGTTGGTGTGTGATGAAAGTTGGCGCACGACAAACGCAGCAGTAGCGGAAGAGTGCGAAGAAGGTACATCCATACCTTTTCTCAGCGCGAACGATACTACCCGCGGTTGCCTCTAGAATTACTGGATCAAACCTAATTACCTGGAACACTGGACGAAGTAAATAAAATATGTGTCCATCTAAAATTTGCGTTAAGTCAAGCAATGCATTATTTTCTGATACATTCATATTTGGTATCACTTTGTAACTGCCGAAACTGTTAAGCATGGTACGTTTTTATCCGGGATAAATCCATTGTTCCATTGACAACCCGGTCCCTTAGCAAGCGCTATCTTCCCGCGATCTGCTTCAGCTAATTTACTAATAGCAGACAATATAAGTACTAATGTGTCTTCCTGGCGCAGTGATGAACTCATAGTGCTAGTCGCCTACATACAATCAGCCAATAAGTTTCTCATATGCACCTGTTATGCGAGCAGACCGAGCGAATCGGAGCAAGCTGTAACTTTACAGGAATCATTTATGCTGCTGCTGCTGCTGCTACTACTACTACCTTGAGTAAATTGTACTGTGTATATTTTATTGCGCACAATAGCTGAGGTACTTCTCACCCCCAAGTAACCTGTAAATTTCTAATGATGCTGACGTCGTTCTGCTTCACATTTTTCACTATGCACTGATGATTTCAACACAGAAATTTCGGGAGCGAATCATGTATAGGTGTTGCAATGACTACACAACTGAGACTCCATATCCGATCTTTATAATTTTCTGGTAAACCACTCTGAACTATGGCTGCTCTGGCACCGGTACAATCACGTATTCAGCCTCAGACCAGTTTTATCCTTGCGAAATCAAACGCAAGTATAATTCCGGACAGTTAGTTTCTCAAAACTTGTTGAAACGTACAATGAGAAGAATTTCAGCAGACGCACTCCTATCGCACCATCTCTTCATTTCCAACAATGATAAATGGATAGCCAGTTTTGAACTCTAACTAATCGATCCGCACTTCTGTACCGATGTCACGTGAGGTGAGTGATGAATATAGCATGCTTTCAATCCAAGTTCGATTAAGGTAACTGAATATCCGCTTAGTCCTCCTGTGGAATTTCGTAGTTCTCCTCAACGAAGAATTTTCTGGACCTCTTTCTTAGCTTGCGTACGCATTCGTCTATATCTGTCCTTAGCATGATGGCAGTTTTTTTTCCCTTATTAGGAAGCAACACAGGTACCTATGGGCAGCATAAAACGCATAAAAACTAGGTCACCGTTAGAAAACCAAGACCATTAATTCAGAACAAAGTGTGAGAGCAGTAGACATTAGCAGTCATTTGCCAAAAAATTTCTGAAATTATTATCTTAGAAAGTTGTCGTGTCTATTAACAATAAGTATTAAGAATGCTAAAACCAAATTGTAGTCGTTGTTCATTCAACCCTCCATCCGAAGTCTTAACGGAATCTCTGCTAACCTGAACCATACCACAGTTCGCAAAATCATGGCAATGTATTCCCTGACATGAGTTGCATGCGGGCAGTTCGAGCAGTCTCGGTCGTTTTAATAGTAATTGCACCAAAGGTAACAGATTTCCACTTTGTATGTATGTGTGTATGTAATCTCCAGGAGGCAGTGGGTCGTTACTCGAGGGGACGGGGTGCACGGTCCTTGTTGTAGTGCTAGGCTCGAAGAGTGGTTCCATACACTCAGTGTGGAAAAAGAAAAGAAAGAAAGGTGTCAGCTTATACGCCGTAACGGCGCTTCGCTGCCGCGCGACCACCACTAGTCGCGCGCGGGCTGGGTATACCGCGAGGACGCCCACCCCTACGCGGATTCGAACCGGTGACCTTATGGTTGGAAAGCAAACGTGCCGACCACTCGGCCACCGGCCGGACTACGGTCCAGCCACCGCCTTGTGTGCGCTTGATTCCCAAATACAGGGTGCTTGTGTTTGCCTGTGAAGGAATGTGGGCCGGCTCCGTTGATGAAACGTGGTTCCCATCCACATGCTTCCCGGTCTTATTCCTTCGGGTTTACACTGAATTTGGGGTATGTGGTTGGAGCTGTGGGTGGTGCAGCGCAAGCCATCCATGGTCCCTCTGTAGACGCAGGCGTCCTGTGGTTGGCCACAGTGACGGGCAAATCCGCAACCGGATGCCGCCAACCATATATGCATGAGATGTGCCCCATGAAAAAGTTGACGAAACAATTGGCCTCGGCCGCTTGTTGTCGACTACCTGGTTGGGCTGGTTTGCCGAACAACCTCCTCGTGGTGCCAGATGGGTGGTTCGGGATTTTCCCGTTCCAGCGAATGGTTCGGCGGCAGTGTTCCAGGACGTGGTGGGTTTTCGCCTGGCAAGCGTTCTCCCTATAAAAAGCCACATATGTCCGTTTAACAACACTGTGACGTGGCGGACGTGACTCGCCACTAAATAAAGTCACTGCCCTTTGCTTCATTCTGGCGAAGCATTGTATTCCAGCAACCTTATGCTGTACTTCTGGGGAGCATTGGGCCCCTGTTTGACAAAGGAACAAACGAAAGGCTTATGAACTGAGCAATCAGTCACCGGCTCCCAATGGGCGCGATTCCCTGAATTCGCTCCGCTGCCTTGCGGGCAGGCTATTCAGCCAAAGGCTCGGGGTGGTGTCCCTAAGTAAATACCCTACTTCGGCTTGGGCAACTGGGTAGTATCTTGCCCTCTTAGGAAACCATGGACATTGTTGTGTTGTGTTTTATTTTACTGTTTCTGTACCTTCGTTTGAATCCCATGGTTTCTGATGGCATTATGTCTGTTAACAGACTTTCGCAAATATATATATATATATATATATACTACCTGTTTGGGGTCCGAGAGATGAGGATACTTGCTGGTTGAAAACCTTGGAAGTTATGGCTCAAGATCGATGTCAATGGTGGACGTGTGCATCAGTGTGTTGCGGTGTCCCTTCCTCCTCCCCCAAAAAAAGAACAAACTGAAAAAGAATTTCAAATCTGTGAGTGGTAAACTTGACAAAAAAGCATTTGTTGTTGCTCTTTTCTTATTATTCATATTGTTTTCCTATTCAGCCATGATTCCGATGGCACAATATCTGTACCACAGATTGTGTATAATAATAATAAGATCTTGCATTCATGATGCTTCTTCACTGCAGTTGGGCTAAACCAACTTACACTTAAACTAGATCTTTTTAAGCTGGATAAATTTCATTCCAGTTTAGTTGGTTTGTTCTGCCTATTTGAATAATCTTCTAGCAACTAGCCACGTTGCTTACGCTAATTGTGGTTAGCTTCGTTAACTATACTGCTTGCACTATTTTTGAGTAAGCTGTGGATATTTTGCACTTATCGCAGATTCGTTGATAACCAACTTAATTCATATGCTAATTCAGCAAAGGGTTATATCGGCATAGCGGTATTCTTTAACTGATATATTGTATCTGTTAAGGACATTTAAAGTGCTTGGCTGTAATTCGACATCCCCGGTGTGGCTGCGCTTGTTGTGCAAGTTGACAAGGTTCTTACTTGTCTATGACCCACTACCTCGTCCATACTGTCTCTAGGAGACAGTTTGTCGTTGCTGGAGGGGACAGCGTGCGCGGTGCTTGTGGCCGTGCTGCGCTCGAAGAGTGGTTTCATCCACTCAGAGTGGAGCGGACTTAGGTCCAGCCACCGCCTTGTGTGCGTTTGCATCCCAAATGCAGCGTGCTTGTGTTTGCCTGTGAAGGAGTGTGGGCCGGCCG